GGCGCTTGGGGGCAGGCGCGACGGCTGGAGGTCTTGGTCCTACGCTGTTTCGGCTGTGTCCCACTGAATGGTCGGTGGGATCAGCGGGCAACCCGGCTGCATTGGACAACCTCGCCGCGTGGGTGTCGAAGAGGGGGGTGCAACAGACTCCCTGCTCTTCGCTATCCGTTCGCGGCATGTCCGATGGATGGGGCGACACAGCTATTGCCGGTGTAGGTCCTGCCAGATGTGACCTGCTCCCTGAGTGCTGGAAAGCATAGTGGTAGCCTCGGATGCGCGGCGGTCGTGTCGGAGTCGGCATGGCGCTCGAAAAAGACACGCACAAGAGTCTTTGGTCTTCGGGGTAGGCGGAAGCCGTGTTCTGTCCTATAAGTAAGCCAGTGCTCACCCGGGGCTGATACCCAGGAGTCCATTGTGGAGCGGGACGCTATGGTCACGTATCTGATGGTGTTGTTCACGCCAGAGCCACTAGGCAAGCGGGCCCCTCTTTTGCACTGTCTGCATTTGTTGCCCCTGTTGAACAAGCAATCCTGCGCACGATGCACCACGATTGGGGCTGGGCTCGGTGAGATGGTAAATGCCATCCTTCTTGTTCACGCTTCACGCAAAGTCTCCATACGGATGCATCGCAAATTGCCCCTCGGCCACTTTGGCACCTTCTCCCCGTCTCTGACAATGCAGGGGGAGTCCGGCTCTTCCTACAAAGAGACTCGTGGTTGCTTATCTTTGGCGATGCTCGTACTCGGTGGTAATTCTAAGGTAAGGAGGACAGCTCGCGGCCGCCCTCCATGTCAGCAATGCTCGCGCTTCCATGTGAAATTATTGCCCTCATCATCGGACAGGTATCTCTCTCTCTCTTCGGAACGGCGAATCTTCTCTCCAAGCCGTGCCCCTATTGATGATTGTCTAGTTGACCGGTCGCGATCTCTGGAACATCTACGATTGCTGTCACCACCTGCGCGCTTGTGCGGCGCGCTTGCTCTTCCGCAAAGCGACCGTCCGATTCGACGAATCCACGCCCATTCTTTTAAACGGGCGGTACTTCCGGTCTCCCCGGGGCGGTCTACTCCAGACGTTGAGCCGGTGGTCCCACCATGTGCAGACGCTCGATATCTGGGGCGACGAGGCAGCCATTCCGGGCGAGTTCTTGGACGCTCTGCGAGGCTTGCACCGCCTGCAAACCGTGAGGCAAGTGGGCGATGGTGGCTCTTCTATGACGGCTAGTTGATCGTCTCCGCTGACCAGATTGCAGCATCAGCTACCCGCCGGCGCTGAGTAGCCTACAACAACTGCTCCGACAGCTGTCGTGCCAGCCTACGGTACGCACGCTGGGCGTGGACTTTATGTCTCCGCGGACCTGGCAGCCGCAGGTGACCTTCGAACACCTTCGGGACTTGCAGCTGTCTTGCATCGAACATGAGCCTGGGCTGTGCGCCCTTCCGTCGCTCCCGGCTCTCGAGCGGCTGAGTCTCAACTTTTGCTGCTATTGCCTTGAATGCCCGAAGACCGGCTCTGGGCCGTGCACCTTGTTGCTGTTCGAACAGCTGCCGCGCTTGGTCTCCCTATCCATATCCGGCGCTCGAAAGGGGAGCGTCGTGTGCCGTGGTCGCGCCTCCCAACTTCGGCGACTGGAGATCACATTCTCTAGTGAGGTCGACTGGGAGACGCTTCGCCTGACTCTGGGCTGCGACCTTGAGGAAGTGATCATTGCAGATTGCGACTTTGTAGTTGGGTGGCCGGAACCCCTCCAGCGGTGGCCGAGACTACAACGCCTCCACATCTACGATTCAAACTCCGCAGTCACCCTCCTGGATCAAGTGCAGATACCGCCGGATACTGAAGTCCATGTGCGGATACACCCGGCGGATGTGCAAGATTCATCACAGTGGTCCATGATTCTGCACGCCTTGCATACTGTGCCCGTTACTGTGAGCTTCAGTAGTCATCCGGATCTCTCATACCCCTACTTATCGCGTTTACGACAACTGACGGCGCTGGGCACGGTGCAGATCGATAAAGCTGACTGCTCATGGTTTACAGCCTGCCTACGGGAGTTGGAGCCGGCTGGTGACTGTACCGCAGATCTGCAGCTTACAGATCTGGACCATGTCGGACAGATCATGGGTGGAGGATAGGGGAAGCACGGACTGCCCGAGAACAGTAAGAACCGGGATGTGTTTCATAGGCCACGCCAGTGCAGACGAGCGGTTCTGCTGGGAGCAGAGGAATTTTGGGAGCCGGCTGGCGGTCAGCCAGTTGGTGGCGAGCTTTACACTTTATAGATGACAGGCCCTGGGTTAGTATGATGTGACCGCACCCCACTCGTGCCAGAGTGCAGATGCTTCCACGGATCGGGACTACCGATTTGCTACGAGATGGAGATACTGCCGCTCCGGGGGTGGTAGACAGGGACAAGTCCTCTACCGAATAGAGCAGCTTTATTCCTTTCGATGCTCCGCCTCACTGCGTGGGCCTAGATTATAGATATTCTTGGTCAGTCTATTGTACCATTCGAAGGACGTGCGACTCGGATGGTTTACACAGATCTCTGTACTAGATACGAACTTGCGCAATTACTGTGCTGCTCTTGGTGATCTTGATTGTTGCAAGCGCCATCCGACAATGACGTGGCCCTGTGGTTGGTCCGTCCGAACCGGTGAATTTAGATACCGCAAACGTCTTTGTCCCACCACTGACCTGCAGCCAAACGTGGTGTCTGAGTAAATGAGGCTGCCGCTGATAGTCTTCTGTGTAGACCCGTTCAACGCTTCAGGGAACAGGATGATCGATAACAGGCGTTGCATAGGCGGACGGGACAGGAGAAGCGTAAGCTGTTGTGAGCGTGGGCCTCTTACCATGTTAGTTCCATCCACCTTCTCCAACAGGGTTGCTTCGTCCAGTCCAAGGACACGGAGTCACATACCCCATCAGCCAGCGGTTCAACTGATGTCCCACGTAGGCTCAAGGGTCCACGTAATTGATTAGTGACAGTCACTCCACTTCATATTCTTCCGTGTTTGAAGCAAAGTAGATAGGAGACCGGCATGCAAGCCTGAATATATAGTAAGAATCGCTGACTTCTTCTGCGCATGAATCTCTCCGCCTCAGGCAAGGCTTTGCGAACATCTGCGGCTCTATCTCCCTCCGTCCTCGACATGTACCGCACAATACTCCCCGCTTACCCGCCACGGACTGGCTCCAGCTCACCCGTGAATAATCATTCGAGCGAATCTCCGAGTTCTGATACGAGCTCCACCGACGATTGGCTTCATGTTTCCGATCCTGCGCAACGACGGCGCATTCAGAATCGCAATGCTCAGAGGAAGCACCGTACGTCGGAGTGTGGGGAAAATCTTCTGGACGCAGAGCTAACCTATCCGGCATGGCTGTAGGCAAGGCCAAGCGCCGATTGAAGTCTATGCCGGCAAGTCTGGCCAAGCATCGGACGTCATCTGACAGGATGCCGCGACATGCGAGATCTGGGTGGCGGGAGCGCCGGCAGCCATCCAATTCCGCACTGAGAGATTTCAGTGACTCGTTCCGCGAATCAGGTTGGTGCCACGATTACCGCGTTGTGTCGACAGAACCGAGTTCAACATTCCTGCAGCCCGAGTCGAGCTGGCTCCCCTTCACTGAATCGCCCGAGTTCGGGCCTGCCGATGGACCCTACGCATACGAGGATCCGCAGAAGCTCCGAACCCACGACGAGCTGTGGGCCTTTCCGTTGATTCAGGACCTTCCGCAAGGTCTTGTTTCAGCGCGATCCCAGCTCTCGCCTTGCATCACGCCCGGTCCGGGTCCAACATCTCTAGACATAACCTACCCGTCAATCGACGCAGAAAGCTCTGTCATAAACTCGACCTTGATGAGCAGTCTCGGTCTGTACCCAATGCTCCGAGATGGCGCGGAACTTGGCACTTTAGATACGCACCAGCCCGTTTCAGAAGTGGCATACGGGTGGGGATCGTGGATAGGAAGGAGGACCTAATCTGTCCTCCAGCATTATTCGGCTTTGGCTGCACTGGTCTAGCATGTCCTTGCACAACATGACTTGTTTCCCGATGACAATGACACTCAGATCAACTGGGACCCCTTCGCAAGCCCAGTACACCTTTTCACCCGGCAATAAAGGGATCCTCTCTCCCTCAACATTCTGCTGTCCGAAAGCTCTCAGCAGTGCTTCACAGAAGACCCACCTAAATCATAATATTGCAAGAAGAAATCAGAACAGAATGATATTAGACAAGAATGAATTGGATAAAATGAACGTTTCGATGCGTCTGTAGCGAAAGACTCGCATTGAAGGCCTGCCTGCTGCCCGCTTCCGGCCCACCAGAATGGTACTTCGCGTAAATGGTGTGTTGCTGTTTCCTTGGGCCTAGCTTAGTGGGGCAATCTACTCGAGTTGGTTTGTACGTATCAGAGTGGAGACCGAGCCCGCCAAATGCACTCTTCCATGCTGGCACCCTCTTCTCGGGATCTCTGTAAAATCTCAAGCACATGCGAGGATTAGCTTTTTGTTGTCTGGGTATGTCAAACTAGCGTGATGGCCAGGTGGTTCTCATCCGGATTCCAGTCCCACGAAGCGTACGTTACATCCTCATATTGCCAAGCCATCAAATCATGCGTGACTGTGTAGTGTATAGACATATATTACCTATAAATATACCGGACCGCTGTTCACGGCGGTCTCTTCCACTTGGAGGGGAGAATATCCGAATCGAAGGGTATACAGTACAAGTCAACTGGGCGGCTTTGTCTTGCAGTCTACTCAGTGTAATCCTCAACCATGCCCCGTACGCATTCAACCCTCGACTTGGCGGACCACGTATCATGTGTCTCCAACGCTTTGCCGAAACCTGCTGGCAAGTCCGCACTGAGCCCCGAGGCCTGCTGGAATGGAGACTGGACCTTGCTTGGCGAGAGGCGATCGCCGCGGCGACGACGAAGTCGGCGACAGCGCTGTATGCTCTTGACCTGGAAACATATTGAGACGTATGACCTGACCGATCGTGTTTCTGGTAGACCAGCGGATGAAGCATTGTCGACGACAGGAAGAGCTGCAGAACAAAGCAATGGCCGCGTTGGCGTCCCCCAGCCAGGCGTCTAGACCACTAAAGGTCGCGAACGAGGGGGGGTCGAGTTGTGGGGAGCAAACTGGAGCATCCCAATCCCCCTCGCAATCCGAACGCCCTCCAACAAAGGACGAAATTGTGTCCCATGACGGTCGAGCAACAGACCTCCGAGCGTCATTGCCAGCAGACTCCGCCAGGGACGAGGGTGTACCCAACCCCCCAGCCGCATCCTCGTTCTGCCCGCCTTTCGCGTCCGCGAGCCCGTACGGACCATGGGGCCATGGCCTGTTGCACGGACCCTACTCTGCTGACAACCGCTACTATGGCCCAACGGTTTACAGCGGCTACGGTTGCCACATACCTTCTATGCCAGCTACATTAACTACACAGAGTGCACCACCCGCGGCATTATCGTCCGATCGCCTGAGTGCGATGGTACATTCTGCCAAGGCGAGCGGCACCGAAGCTGCTGATGTCCCTTCACATGCAGGATTACAGCCCCTACCGGGGCCCGCCACTTTTGCACCCACGGTTCCTTTCTTTTTGACAATGTGAGTACTGAACTGTGGCTCGACCCAAAGCCAGTGCAACACAATGAGCTGATGTCACTTTGTAGATGCCAGTCTTGCCTTTCCCAAGTTGCAGGGGTAGGAATGTACCCTTATCCTTACCAGCAACTCCTTCGTCGGTGACCCATGACAGGCCTGGTCCTCATGCGCTCCTGTTTCCGCATGATTCCGGTGCCGCTAGGCGATCATCTACCTCAGTATCTACTTATCGCCTGATCAGTCCAACTTCCAGCTGTCCTGTCTGATATCGTCAAATCTCGAAGATTGCTATTGTTTCGGTGTGCATGTGTCTACTTGGCGCTCTTTACTGTGCACACGAATGCGTCCTATCCTACGCCTGCAAGGGAAAGGGTGCGTTGGTGGTAATCGTTCTGGACAGAGAGTTCAGTCTAGAGTATTTGGCAGCCTGGATTGTAGATTCGTGACGGTGATATAAACGGAAATCACCGATTGACGAGTACAGTGATTGGTCATGTTATGTAGACGAACATACAGTATAATCTCCAAGACAGACTGCGATAGCGATGAGGTAGCGGCTGTTGTGCAGTTCGAACGATTTGCCGACAATTTTTTGATCTATGTATCTACTACACCAACAATGGTCTTAGCTGATGGCCTGGGAGTGCTCTATTCCGTCGAGTCGGTGTTGGGCAGGGAAGCACCTTCTCCCGTCCCGAGGTTATGCTGTCGCTGAGTCCTTCGGAGCTGTCTGGATGGCTCTGCCGAATGGCCATTGAAGTGATGTCCGCAGAGAGACTGGTCTTGCGCAAGTGCATTTTGCTTGGCTGCGAGTTCAATTGCACAGAGTTGTGTATCTCCAGTTGCAATGACCGTGATGTTCAACGGGGAGAATGCTCTTTTGACAGTTGATCAAGCAGAATGAGAAGGTCTGTCTGCCTTCAAAACGGGGCTCGTGGGACGGCCACGAGTGGGACGATGTGAAGGGAAAATTCATCACTTCCAAGCATCTACACTTTACTGCTGATCGTGCAAATGAACGATGCAAGCAATTAGAGTTCGCCCAGTGAGGCAGCGGATCGTCGCATTGGACCGTGGTGGACACTAGCCAGCGCCACCAAATTGCTTGTCTCCACTTCCATATTCTCCATATGCGCAACTGTTGAACCGGCAGGACTAACCGCACCTGGTCGCGGCTCTTTGCAGAAGTGCTATGACTTGCCGTCGGCATACCTTCGCAGCCGTCGTTTTGGGTCGGTGCCAGCTATATCCAGAGATACGCCGATTGCCGTCTAGCCATGTCTTGGACTCTGTATCCGCCTCTAGTGGCCAGGGAGCGTTGACCGTGACATTTCTTTCTTCGTTCCCCTTCCAATGGGCTCCATGGTTGCGTGGTCGAGATGATTGAGATTGCAGACCTGTCTCTAGCGAAGATTGCACACGAGGGCTGGAGCTCCCGTGCGTTGCAGGACTGTATATGCTCTACATTGTGACGAGAAAGTCATGTTGCATGCGGTTTCTACCCTGATATCCTGCCATGGCCCCTGCACTCGGGGGCTGGAGTTTCCCCGACCGTCCTGCAGAGCGAAGCGTTTCGCGCTCATGCCGGCCTACGATGGACCCACGTCTAAATGGAAGGACATAGCATAGTTGTTACTGTACAAGATGTAATACGTACAAGCAGGCGCGGAACAGTCGCCGAACGGCAAAGATTACGTAACAGGAATCGACCCGTGCAACGAGGGTGAGCAGGTTTAGCTTCGTCAGGGTGCAGCCAAAGCCGTATGGCCGCACGCAACTGACTACTAGTCTTCAGCACCACGGAGAGGTACCTGCTTATCGCTGAAGGTGAGGCGCACTGCGGGACCGTTGTACAGGCAGTGCACGCATGCAGTGTCTCGGCAATTGCTTGCCTCAGGCCTCGATGGTCGACAAGGCGACAGCCAAATTGACGGCCCAGGCC